GAAGGGGAAGCCTGCTAGTTGTGTGGCCTGAAAAAGGAGGATCAATATTTTACTGCCAGGGAAACAACCAGTTTCCCTGGCAGCCAGGTCAGCGGCCCAGCTGTGTGAGCTCCAGCAACAACAGCTGCTTCCGCCGCCCCTGGCAGGCCCAGTGCGCCCCGCCCTCCCGCCTGGGAGCCCGGCGCGCCCCCAGCGCAGCCCAGCCCTGCGTGGTGTGTGCGCCCCGCTCCCCCAGCCCGCGGGCAGGCCCCCAGCATCTGGGGCCCCGGGCCACCGCGAAGACCACCTGTGGGTGGTTATTTGCTCTTCTCACCGTGTGACCTCGAGCAAGCCCCTCCCCCTCCCCTCGACTTGGCTTCCCCGTCGGCCGAATCAAGGGCTGGGTCAGCTGAGCGCACCCCTGCCCTCGGGGGTACCAGCAAAAGTTTATCTAGTGTCCAGGAAGGTTGACGCTCTTGGTGATCAAGGTGAGGGGATCCAGCCCTAGGGGGTAATGCTCCTCGATATACAAGAGGACGGAGGGGGGCGGGGATTGAAACATACTTTGGTGCAACCTGGCAAGAGCCTGCCTCTGTGGAAGGCAGTAGGGTGCAGAGGCTGATACTCGGGTCAGCGGGGCTTGAGGGGGCGGGGGGGGCGTCAAGGAAGAGTTACCACTACAGGGATTCTCTGAGTCAGGGGTCCCCAGCCCCCGGTCCGCGGACCAGTACCAGACCGCGCAGCAGGAGGCCAGCGAGCGAAGCTTCATATGCCGCTCCCCGTCGCTCCCCGTCGCTCCCCATCGCTCACATTACCGCCTGAGCCGTATACCCCTCCCCCAGCCCCGTCCGTGGGGAAAATTGTCTTCCACGAAACCGGTCCCTGGTGCCAAAAAGGTTGGGTGCCACTGCTCTAAGTGTCGTAACCTCTCTAAATGTCTGAGTCTCAGTTTCCTCAACTGTAAAATAGTAGCTGCTATTAAGGTTGGTGTAAGGATCAGATGAGATGAGTCCAGTGACTTCCCTGGCGGTCCGGTGTTAGGACTCCGCACTTTCATTGCCGAGGGCCCAGGTTCAGTCCCTGGTTGGGGAACTGAGATCCTGCAAGCTGCCCGGCGCGGACCAAAAAAAGAAAAAAAATGAGGCTGGTCCAGCCAGAGTTCATGGCAAGCCCTCGGTGAACCCTGCCTGTTTTCTAAAGCGCTGTATAATGGTTGATGTGGCACCTTCATACCCACTGCTTTCTTGGACCTTCACTCTTTGAAGAGCCCTGTGGGAGTCCTGGACCCACCGCTCAGGGGTGTTCCAGGGACTTTGCAGTGGCCCCCAGGACCCCATCTATCTGCCTGTCATCGAGCACCCTGGCACCTCTGCTCCAGGCTGGCTTTCCCTGGAGGCAGGGGGACAGATAGCCTGGCCCCACCAGTGTCTCCCAGCCCTGGGGAGCTACGGACTCCATGGATTACGGAATCTGAATCTGAATCTGAATCCACAGCCTGCTTCCCCTTACGTGGATCTGAGGTTGGGCCTCCACATCAGCCATTCAACACTTGGTGACGACTCTGCCCTTGCCTCACATCAGAGATAATTAAAGCATAACCCCAACCTTGGAGAGGATTGTAGGGGTGCACACGGGAGCCCCAGCCCATCCCTGCGTTCAAAGACCCCCTTCAATGCCACTGACTAGAGGGCAGGAGGAGAGGAGGCGGGGCACCAGCTGGGAGGGTGGATGGGTCCCCGCGGCCCTGAAGGTGGCACCTGGGCACTTCTATTCTCAGAAGCCACGTCATTGCCTGGCAGTGTCAGAGGCTGCCCGGCTGGGAGTGTGGGGACAGCTGCAATGCTGAGGGGGCGCCGGCCAGGGCGGGGAGCTGGCAGAAAGCCACCTTCCTCCTTCTCTGGAATTCTTCCAGCTTTTCCCAAGGGCCTGCTAGGTGCCAGGTTCGGGGCGGTCACAGAGAGACGATGCACAGACTCTGCCCACCCCTCACCCCCAGAGTCACACCCGAGTGGAAAAGCAGGGTCAGCTGGGACAGAGGTATAAGCTCAGGGCCACCAAGGTCAGGGAGGGAGGAGGGATGCTTGTATAGGGTCTTGCCTTGCTCACTCATCTTCCAAACCCCACTGGGTGTGTCCCCATAATTGGAGCGGGCTCCAGACCCCTGCTGCAACTGGCGCACTAGGAAAGTGTACTGTGGGCATGCAAGAAACGTGGTCCTTGTGGATAGGTGAATCCCCCAGGATGGCTTGGGCTTCGGAGAATGTGGTGGGCGGTATGGTGGGCTGGAAGGTGTCTGCCGTGACAGTATTAACAATAA